CCAAAGCGCTTTTCTCCCGGCTTTGAGACCAGAGTGCGAGCCTTGCGGGAACACCCGGCCAGAGTGCTTGCAAACGGGGATTTGCACGCAGGCGGGGAGGTCTTCCAGAGGGAGAGGGCAGGTCCTGCTCAGAGGCCCCACAGGCCAGAGGCAGAACCCGGCAATGCCCCTGCTCTTGGCCAGCCTTGCCCAGGCCTTCCGGGCCTCCAGGGTAACTGCCCCATGAAGGAACAGGCTGTGGGGAGTGTGTCCAGACATGCCCTTGCGCCTCCCTCAACGCAGCCCTGCCTGGGCCTTTCCCTGGGCCTAGGCCTCTGCTGAGGCCTACTGGGAGTGGAGGTGCTGGCAGGGGCTGTCTCCACACTGCAACAGCCCCGGGGGCAGAGCCTTCTGGCAGAGGGAAGAGGGGAGAAAGGGGGTAGAGAGCCAAGCCCTCTTTGGCCCAGCAGCCTCAGGGCAGCAGGGAGAGCAAGGGGCCCACAGTGCACCTAGGTCGGCTCTCCCGCTTCCCACCCAGGCAGTGCTGCCGGGGCTGCCAGGGAACTGCCTGAGAGACTGCGGCTCAGCCGAGCTCTCTGAAGGGGCAGGGGGCAGGAACAGACGTGTGCATGTGGTTCTGCCTTGGCCTGGGAGTGTGGACCCCCTAGCTGGTCCCCAGGCTCAGGGCCATGGGCCCTGAGAGAGGCCCACCCCAAAGCGCTTTTCTCCCGGCTTTGAGACCAGAGTGCGAGCCTTGCGGGAACACCCGGCCAGAGTGCTTGCAAACGGGGATTTGCACGCAGGCGGGGAGGTCTTCCAGAGGGAGAGGGCAGGTCCTGCTCAGAGGCCCCACAGGCCAGAGGCAGAACCCGGCAATGCCCCTGCTCTTGGCCAGCCTTGCCCAGGCCTTCCTGGCCTCCAGGGTAACTGCCCCATGAAGGAACAGGCTGTGGGGAGTGTGTCCAGACATGCCCTTGCGCCTCCCTCAACGCAGCCCTGCCTGGGCCTTTCCCTGGGCCTAGGCCTCTGCTGAGGCCTACTGGGAGTGGAGGTGCTGGCAGGGGCTGTCTCCACACTGCAACAGCCCCGGGGGCAGAGCCTTCTGGCAGAGGGAAGAGGGGAGAAAGGGGGTAGATAGCCAAGCCCTCTTTGGCCCAGCAGCCTCAGGGCAGCAGGGAGAGCAAGGGGCCCACAGTGCACCTAGGTCGGCTCTCCCGCTTCCCACCCAGGCAGTGCTGCCGGGGCTGCCAGGGAACTGCCTGAGAGCCTGCGGCTCAGCCGAGCTCTCTGAAGGGGCAGGGGGCAGGAACAGACGTGTGCATGTGGTTCTGCCTTGGCCTGGGAGTGTGGACCCCCTAGCTGGTCCCCAGGCTCAGGGCCATGGGCCCTGAGAGAGGCCCACCCCAAAGCGCTTTTCTCCCGGCTTTGAGACCAGAGTGCGAGCCTTGCGGGAACACCCGGCCAGAGTGCTTGCAAACGGGGATTTGCACGCAGGCGGGGAGGTCTTCCAGAGGGAGAGGGCAGGTCCTGCTCAGAGGCCCCACAGGCCAGAGGCAGAACCCGGCAATGCCCCTGCTCTTGGCCAGCCTTGCCCAGGCCTTCCTGGCCTCCAGGGTAACTGCCCCATGAAGGAACAGGCTGTGGGGAGTGTGTCCAGACATGCCCTTGCGCCTCCCTCAACGCAGCCCTGCCTGGGCCTTTCCCTGGGCCTAGGCCTCTGCTGAGGCCTACTGGGAGTGGAGGTGCTGGCAGGGGCTGTCTCCACACTGCAACAGCCCCGGGGGCAGAGCCTTCTGGCAGAGGGAAGAGGGGAGAAAGGGGGTAGATAGCCAAGCCCTCTTTGGCCCAGCAGCCTCAGGGCAGCAGGGAGAGCAAGGGGCCCACAGTGCACCTAGGTCGGCTCTCCCGCTTCCCACCCAGGCAGTGCTGCCGGGGCTGCCAGGGAACTGCCTGAGAGACTGCGGCTCAGCCGAGCTCTCTGAAGGGGCAGGGGGCAGGAACAGCCGTGTGCATGTGGTTCTGCCTTGGCCTGGGAGTGTGGACCCCCTAGCTGGTCCCCAGGCTCAGGGCCATGGGCCCTGAGAGAGGCCCACCCCAAAGCGCTTTTCTCCCGGCTTTGAGACCAGAGTGCGAGCCTTGCGGGAACACCCGGCCAGAGTGCTTGCAAACGGGGATTTGCACGCAGGCGGGGAGGTCTTCCAGAGGGAGAGGGCAGGTCCTGCTCAGAGGCCCCACAGGCCAGAGGCAGAACCCGGCAATGCCCCTGCTCTTGGCCAGCCTTGCCCAGGCCTTCCTGGCCTCCAGGGTAACTGCCCCATGAAGGAACAGGCTGTGGGGAGTGTGTCCAGACATGCCCTTGCGCCTCCCTCAACGCAGCCCTGCCTGGGCCTTTCCCTGGGCCTAGGCCTCTGCTGAGGCCTACTGGGAGTGGAGGTGCTGGCAGGGGCTGTCTCCACACTGCAACAGCCCCGGGGGCAGAGCCTTCTGGCAGAGGGAAGAGGGGAGAAAGGGGGTAGAGAGCCAAGCCCTCTTTGGCCCAGCAGCCTCAGGGCAGCAGGGAGAGCAAGGGGCCCACAGTGCACCTAGGTCGGCTCTCCCGCTTCCCACCCAGGCAGTGCTGCCGGGGCTGCCAGGGAACTGCCTGAGAGCCTGCGGCTCAGCCGAGCTCTCTGTAGGGGCAGGGGGCAGGAACAGACGTGTGCATGTGGTTCTGCCTTGACCTGGGAGTGTGGACCCCCTAGCTGGTCCCCAGGCTCAGGGCCATGGGCCCTGAGAGAGGCCCACCCCAAAGCGCTTTTCTCCCGGCTTTGAGACCAGAGTGCGAGCCTTGCGGGGACACCCGGCCAGAGTGCTTGCAAACGGGGATTTGCACGCAGGCGGGGAGGTCTTCCAGAGGGAGAGGGCAGGTCCTGCTCAGAGGCCCCACAGGCCAGAGGCAGAACCCGGCAATGCCCCTGCTCTTGGCCAGCCTTGCCCAGGCCTTCCTGGCCTCCAGGGTAACTGCCCCATGAAGGAACAGGCTGTGGGGAGTGTGTCCAGACATGCCCTTGCGCCTCCCTCAACGCAGCCCTGCCTGGGCCTTTCCCTGGGCCTAGGCCTCTGCTGAGGCCTACTGGGAGTGGAGGTGCTGGCAGGGGCTGTCTCCACACTGCAACAGCCCCGGGGGCAGAGCCTTCTGGCAGAGGGAAGAGGGGAGAAAGGGGGTAGATAGCCAAGCCCTCTTTGGCCCAGCAGCCTCAGGGCAGCAGGGAGAGCAAGGGGCCCACAGTGCACCTAGGTCGGCTCTCCCGCTTCCCACCCAGGCAGTGCTGCCGGGGCTGCCAGGGAACTGCCTGAGAGCCTGCGGCTCAGCCGAGCTCTCTGAAGGGGCAGGGGGCAGGAACAGCCGTGTGCATGTGGTTCTGCCTTGGCCTGGGAGTGTGGACCCCCTAGCTGGTCCCCAGGCTCAGGGCCATGGGCCCTGAGAGAGGCCCACCCCAAAGCGCTTTTCTCCCGGCTTTGAGACCAGAGTGCGAGCCTTGCGGGGACACCCGGCCAGAGTGCTTGCAAACGGGGATTTGCACGCAGGCGGGGAGGTCTTCCAGAGGGAGAGGGCAGGTCCTGCTCAGAGGCCCCACAGGCCAGAGGCAGAACCCGGCAATGCCCCTGCTCTTGGCCAGCCTTGCCCAGGCCTTCCTGGCCTCCAGGGTAACTGCCCCATGAAGGAACAGGCTGTGGGGAGTGTGTCCAGACATGCCCTTGCGCCTCCCTCAACGCAGCCCTGCCTGGGCCTTTCCCTGGGCCTAGGCCTCTGCTGAGGCCTACTGGGAGTGGAGGTGCTGGCAGGGGCTGTCTCCACACTGCAACAGCCCCGGGGGCAGAGCCTTCTGGCAGAGGGAAGAGGGGAGAAAGGGGGTAGATAGCCAAGCCCTCTTTGGCCCAGCAGCCTCAGGGCAGCAGGGAGAGCAAGGGGCCCACAGTGCACCTAGGTCGGCTCTCCCGCTCCCCACCCAGGCAGTGCTGCCGGGGCTGCCAGGGAACTGCCTGAGAGACTGCGGCTCAGCCGAGCTCTCTGAAGGGGCAGGGGGCAGGAACAGACGTGTGCATGTGGTTCTGCCTTGGCCTGGGAGTGTGGACCCCCTAGCTGGTCCCCAGGCTCAGGGCCATGGGCCCTGAGAGAGGCCCACCCCAAAGCGCTTTTCTCCCGGCTTTGAGACCAGAGTGCGAGCCTTGCGGGAACACCCGGCCAGAGTGCTTGCAAACGGGGATTTGCACGCAGGCGGGGAGGTCTTCCAGAGGGAGAGGGCAGGTCCTGCTCAGAGGCCCCACAGGCCAGAGGCAGAACCCGGCAATGCCCCTGCTCTTGGCCAGCCTTGCCCAGGCCTTCCTGGCCTCCAGGGTAACTGCCCCATGAAGGAAAAGGCTGTGGGGAGTGTGTCCAGACATGCCCTTGCGCCTCCCTCAACGCAGCCCTGCCTGGGCCTTTCCCTGGGCCTAGGCCTCTGCTGAGGCCTACTGGGAGTGGAGGTGCTGGCAGGGGCTGTCTCCACACTGCAACAGCCCCGGGGGCAGAGCCTTCTGGCAGAGGGAAGAGGGGAGAAAGGGGGTAGATAGCCAAGCCCTCTTTGGCCCAGCAGCCTCAGGGCAGCAGGGAGAGCAAGGGGCCCACAGTGCACCTAGGTCGGCTCTCCCGCTTCCCACCCAGGCAGTGCTGCCGGGGCTGCCAGGGAACTGCCTGAGAGCCTGCGGCTCAGCCGAGCTCTCTGAAGGGGCAGGGGGCAGGAACAGACGTGTGCATGTGGTTCTGCCTTGGCCTGGGAGTGTGGACCCCCTAGCTGGTCCCCAGGCTCAGGGCCATGGGCCCTGAGAGAGGCCCACCCCAAAGCGCTTTTCTCCCGGCTTTGAGACCAGAGTGCGAGCCTTGCGGGAACACCCGGCCAGAGTGCTTGCAAACGGGGATTTGCACGCAGGCGGGGAGGTCTTCCAGAGGGAGAGGGCAGGTCCTGCTCAGAGGCCCCACAGGCCAGAGGCAGAACCCGGCAATGCCCCTGCTCTTGGCCAGCCTTGCCCAGGCCTTCCTGGCCTCCAGGGTAACTGCCCCATGAAGGAACAGGCTGTGGGGAGTGTGTCCAGACATGCCCTTGCGCCTCCCTCAACGCAGCCCTGCCTGGGCCTTTCCCTGGGCCTAGGCCTCTGCTGAGGCCTACTGGGAGTGGAGGTGCTGGCAGGGGCTGTCTCCACACTGCAACAGCCCCGGGGGCAGAGCCTTCTGGCAGAGGGAAGAGGGGAGAAAGGGGGTAGATAGCCAAGCCCTCTTTGGCCCAGCAGCCTCAGGGCAGCAGGGAGAGCAAGGGGCCCACAGTGCACCTAGGTCGGCTCTCCCGCTTCCCACCCAGGCAGTGCTGCCGGGGCTGCCAGGGAACTGCCTGAGAGCCTGCGGCTCAGCCGAGCTCTCTGAAGGGGCAGGGGGCAGGAACAGCCGTGTGTATGTGGTTCTGCCTTGGCCTGGGAGTGTGGACCCCCTAGCTGGTCCCCAGGCTCAGGGCCATGGGCCCTGAGAGAGGCCCACCCCAAAGCGCTTTTCTCCCGGCTTTGAGACCAGAGTGCGAGCCTTGCGGGAACACCCGGCCAGAGTGCTTGCAAACGGGGATTTGCACGCAGGCGGGGAGGTCTTCCAGAGGGAGAGGGCAGGTCCTGCTCAGAGGCCCCACAGGCCAGAGGCAGAACCCGGCAATGCCCCTGCTCTTGGCCAGCCTTGCCCAGGCCTTCCTGGCCTCCAGGGTAACTGCCCCATGAAGGAACAGGCTGTGGGGAGTGTGTCCAGACATGCCCTTGCGCCTCCCTCAACGCAGCCCTGCCTGGGCCTTTCCCTGGGCCTAGGCCTCTGCTGAGGCCTACTGGGAGTGGAGGTGCTGGCAGGGGCTGTCTCCACACTGCAACAGCCCCGGGGGCAGAGCCTTCTGGCAGAGGGAAGAGGGGAGAAAGGGGGTAGATAGCCAAGCCCTCTTTGGCCCAGCAGCCTCAGGGCAGCAGGGAGAGCAAGGGGCCCACAGTGCACCTAGGTCGGCTCTCCCGCTTCCCACACAGGCAGTGCGGCCGGGGCTGCCAGGGAACTGCCTGAGAGACTGCGGCTCAGCCGAGCTCTCTGAAGGGGCAGGGGGCAGGAACAGACGTGTGCATGTGGTTCTGCCTTGGCCTGGGAGTGTGGACCCCCTAGCTGGTCCCCAGGCTCAGGGCCATGGGCCCTGAGAGAGGCCCACCCCAAAGCGCTTTTCTCCCGGCTTTGAGACCAGAGTGCGAGCCTTGCGGGAACACCCGGCCAGAGTGCTTGCAAACGGGGATTTGCACGCAGGCGGGGAGGTCTTCCAGAGGGAGAGGGCAGGTCCTGCTCAGAGGCCCCACAGGCCAGAGGCAGAACCCAGCAATGCCCCTGCTCTTGGCCAGCCTTGCCCAGGCCTTCCTGGCCTCCAGGGTAACTGCACCATGAAGCAACAGGCTGTGGGGAGTGTGTCCAGACATGCCCTTGCGCCTCCCTCAACGCAGCCCTGCCTGGGCCTTTCCCTGGGCCTAGGCCTCTGCTGAGGCCTACTGGGAATGGAGGTGCTGGCAGGGGCTGTCTCCACACTGCAACAGCCCCGGGGGCAGAGCCTTCTGGCAGAGGGAAGAGGGGAGAAAGGGGGTAGATAGCCAAGCCCTCTTTGGCCCAGCAGCCTCAGGGCAGCAGGGAGAGCAAGGGGCCCACAGTGCACCTAGGTCGGCTCTCCCGCTTCCCACACAGGCAGTGCTGCCGGGGCTGCCAGGGAACTGCCTGAGAGACTGCGGCTCAGCCGAGCTCTCTGAAGGGGCAGGGGGCAGGAACAGACGTGTGCATGTGGTTCTGCCTTGGCCTGGGAGTGTGGACCCCCTAGCTGGTCCCCAGGCTCAGGGCCATGGGCCCTGAGAGAGGCCCACCCCAAAGCGCTTTTCTCCCGGCTTTGAGACCAGAGTGCGAGCCTTGCGGGAACACCCGGCCAGAGTGCTTGCAAACGGGGATTTGCACGCAGGCGGGGAGGTCTTCCAGAGGGAGAGGGCAGGTCCTGCTCAGAGGCCCCACAGGCCAGAGCCAGAACCCGGCAATGCCCCTGCTCTTGGCCAGCCTTGCCCAGGCCTTCCTGGCCTCCAGGGTAACTGCCCCATGAAGGAACAGGCTGTGGGGAGTGTGTCCAGACATGCCCTTGCGCCTCCCTCAACGCAGCCCTGCCTGGGCCTTTCCCTGGGCCTAGGCCTCTGCTGAGGCCTACTGGGAGTGGAGGTGCTGGCAGGGGCTGTCTCCACACTGCAACAGCCCCGGGGGCAGAGCCTTCTGGCAGAGGGAAGAGGGGAGAAAGGGGGTAGATAGCCAAGCCCTCTTTGGCCCAGCAGCCTCAGGGCAGCAGGGAGAGCAAGGGGCCCACAGTGCACCTAGGTCGGCTCTCCCGCTTCCCACACAGGCAGTGCTGCCGGGGCTGCCAGGGAACTGCCTGAGAGACTGCGGCTCAGCCGAGCTCTCTGAAGGGGCAGGGGGCAGGAACAGACGTGTGCATGTGGTTCTGCCTTGGCCTGGGAGTGTGGACCCCCTAGCTGGTCCCCAGGCTCAGGGCCATGGGCCCTGAGAGAGGCCCACCCCAAAGCGCTTTTCTCCCGGCTTTGAGACCAGAGTGCGAGCCTTGCGGGAACACCCGGCCAGAGTGCTTGCAAACGGGGATTTGCACGCAGGCGGGGAGGTCTTCCAGAGGGAGAGGGCAGGTCCTGCTCAGAGGCCCCACAGGCCAGAGGCAGAACCCAGCAATGCCCCTGCTCTTGGCCAGCCTTGCCCAGGCCTTCCTGGCCTCCAGGGTAACTGCCCCATGAAGGAACAGGCTGTGGGGAGTGTGTCCAGACATGCCCTTGCGCCTCCCTCAACGCAGTCCTGCCTGGGCCTTTCCCTGGGCCTAGGCCTCTGCTGAGGCCTACTGGGAGTGGAGGTGCTGGCAGGGGCTGTCTCCACACTGCAACAGCCCCGGGGGCAGAGCCTTCTGGCAGAGGGAAGAGGGGAGAAAGGGGGTAGATAGCCAAGCCCTCTTTGGCCCAGCAGCCTCAGGGCAGCAGGGAGAGCAAGGGGCCCACAGTGCACCTAGGTCGGCTCTCCCGCTTCCCACACAGGCAGTGCTGCCGGGGCTGCCAGGGAACTGCCTGAGAGACTGCGGCTCAGCCGAGCTCTCTGAAGGGGCAGGGGGCAGGAACAGACGTGTGCATGTGGTTCTGCCTTGGCCTGGGAGTGTGGACCCCCTAGCTGGTCCCCAGGCTCAGGGCCATGGGCCCTGAGAGAGGCCCACCCCAAAGAGCTTTTCTCCCGGCTTTGAGACCAGAGTGCGAGCCTTGCGGGAACACCCGGCCAGAGTGCTTGCAAACGGGGATTTGCACGCAGGCGGGGAGGTCTTCCAGAGGGAGAGGGCAGGTCCTGCTCAGAGGCCCCACAGGCCAGAGGCAGAACCCAGCAATGCCCCTGCTCTTGGCCAGCCTTGCCCAGGCCTTCCTGGCCTCCAGGGTAACTGCCCCATGAAGGAACAGGCTGTGGGGAGTGTGTCCAGACATGCCCTTGCGCCTCCCTCAACGCAGCCCTGCCTGGGCCTTTCCCTGGGCCTAGGCCTCTGCTGAGGCCTACTGGGAGTGGAGGTGCTGGCAGGGGCTGTCTCCACACTGCAACAGCCCCGGGGGCAGAGCCTTCTGGCAGAGGGAAGAGGGGAGAAAGGGGGTAGATAGCCAAGCCCTCTTTGGCCCAGCAGCCTCAGGGCAGCAGGGAGAGCAAGGGGCCCACAGTGCACCTAGGTCGGCTCTCCCGCTTCCCACACAGGCAGTGCTGCCGGGGCTGCCAGGGAACTGACTGAGAGACTGTGGCTCAGCCGAGCTCTCTGAAGTTGCAGGGGGCAGGAACAGACGTGTGCATGTGGTTCTGCCTTGGCCTGGGAGTGTGGACCCCCTAGCTGGTCCCCAGGCTCAGGGCCATGGGCCCTGAGAGAGGCCCACCCCAAAGCGCTTTTCTCCCGGCTTTGAGACCAGAGTGCGAGCCTTGCGGGAACACCCGGCCAGAGTGCTTGCAAACGGGGATTTGCACGCAGGCGGGGAGGTCTTCCAGAGGGAGAGGGCAGGTCCTGCTCAGAGGCCCCACAGGCCAGAGGCAGAACCCAGCAATGCCCCTGCTCTTGGCCAGCCTTGCCCAGGCCTTCCTGGCCTCCAGGGTAACTGCCCCATGAAGGAACAGGCTGTGGGGAGTGTGTCCAGACATGCCCTTGCGCCTCCCTCAACGCAGCCCTGCCTGGGCCTTTCCCTGGGCCTAGGCCTCTGCTGAGGCCTACTGGGAGTGGAGGTGCTGGCAGGGGCTGTCTCCACACTGCAACAGCCCCGGGGGCAGAGCCTTCTGGCAGAGGGAAGAGGGGAGAAAGGGGGTAGATAGCCAAGCCCTCTTTGGCCCAGCAGCCTCAGGGCAGCAGGGAGAGCAAGGGGCCCACAGTGCACCTAGGTCGGCTCTCCCGCTTCCCACACAGGCAGTGCGGCCGGGGCTGCCAGGGAACTGCCTGAGAGACTGCGGCTCAGCCGAGCTCTCTGAAGGGGCATGGGGCAGGAACAGACGTGTGCATGTGGTTCTGCCTTGGCCTGGGAGTGTGGACCCCCTAGCTGGTCCCCAGGCTCAGGGCCATGGGCCCTGAGAGAGGCCCACCCCAAAGCGCTTTTCTCCCGGCTTTGAGACCAGAGTGCGAGCCTTGCGGGAACACCCGGCCAGAGTGCTTGCAAACGGGGATTTGCACGCAGGCGGGGAGGTCTTCCAGAGGGAGAGGGCAGGTCCTGCTCAGAGGCCCCACAGGCCAGAGGCAGAACCCAGCAATGCCCCTGCTCTTGGCCAGCCTTGCCCAGGCCTTCCTGGCCTCCAGGGTAACTGCCCCATGAAGGAACAGGCTGTGGGGAGTGTGTCCAGACATGCCCTTGCGCCTCCCTCAACGCAGCCCTGCATGGGCCTTTCCCTGGGCCTAGGCCTCTGCTGAGGCCTACTGGGAGTGGAGGTGCTGGCAGGGGCTGTCTCCACACTGCAACAGCCCCGGGGGCAGAGCCTTCTGGCAGAGGGAAGAGGGGCGAAAGGGGGTAGATAGCCAAGCCCTCTTTGGCCCAGCAGTCTCAGGGCAGCAGGGAGAGCAAGGGGCCCACAGTGCACCTAGGTCGGCTCTCCCGCTTCCCACACAGGCAGTGCTGCCGGGGCTGCCAGGGAACTGCCTGAGAGACTGCGGCTCAGCCGAGCTCTCTGAAGGGGCAGGGGGCAGGAACAGACGTGTGCATGTGGTTCTGCCTTGGCCTGGGAGTGTGGACCCCCTAGCTGGTCCCCAGGCTCAGGGCCATGGGCCCTGAGAGAGGCCCACCCCAAAGCGCTTTTCTCCCGGCTTTGAGACCAGAGTGCGAGCCTTGCGGGAACACCCGGCCAGAGTGCTTGCAAACGGG